CTCCGAGCAGGACGCAGGAGTTGCCCGTCCTCTGTGCGGGGAGGAGACCGAAGCTCGCGGAAAGCTCACGTCAGGATTGCGAGCGGGAGTATGTAAAATATGTGGGTGAGACCGAAACCGGGGATAGACCTCGCAGACAAGGGGAAATGAAATTCGAGGGGATTTAGGGCTTTTTAAGCACTGGTCTGGGTCAGGAGGGGGGAAATCCAGTTTGATACAAGCATATGCAAAGCGGCGAGTGAGCTGAGCACCGTGGAGCGTTCTGCACCTAGGAAAGGGCCCAGGTCTGCGGCTTACTGCCCAGGCGAGGGATTTAGTGGTTATTATAGGAAAATCCTTTAAGCCACCAGCCCGGGGTGTGCCGGCAGTGAAAGCACAAACAAGCACCCGAGCGCAGACACAAGGTAGGAGCGTGCCGGGGAGCGCGTCGCTCGGGGGGCGATATCTTGCTTGGGGGACAGCACAGGGTGACGCTGAGGTCAGGCATGTACTACTCGTCCGCGGTGGTTTCCTGGTGCCGCCGGGTGTCACGTCCCGCTGAGTCGCCCCGCTGGGCGCTCGAGCGAGAAAGGTGGGTGCTTGTGCCAGGTCATGGGCTGCAATGGTGGTGGGGGGCACGGGGCGATGCTGGGGATGGTACCCACCGGGGTCCTCCTGCCCGCAGCCGCGGCTGAGCAAAGGTGGCTTCGCCGTGGTGCGGAGCGGAGGCGGTGGCAGGACGGGCGGTGGGAAGAGGCTCAGTGTCCCAGCCGGGGAGAGGACATACCAGCTCCAGCCAAGGTTTTGGCAGTGTCCCAGTGCTGGAACCCGCACCGGACACCCAGAGCGGCACCGTGCCGGGGTGAGGATGTCAGGGGGGGTGGATGAGGCTATGGCGGTGTGTCCTGGCAAATGGGCCTGGCAGCGGCCCCCGCCATGCGAGAAGCTCCCGGCGTGTGGGTGGTGTGTGTAGGTTAGCCGGGGTTTTCCTCCATGTGGTCTATGGTGCTGGGACCTCATGGGACGGCGAAGCCGAGCAAAGGGGTTGGGGAGAGGCTGAGCTGGGCTGCGCCGTGATGGGGGTCTGTGCGGACCCCCACCCTGAGGAGGGGCAGAAAGCAGGAGCCGGGAAATGGCCAGGGGATGCTCGGGGGCTGCCCCAGCATCTGCTCCGCTCCCGGCTCCAGGAGGTGGGAAATGGCTCCTGGAAGTGCCGAGGTGAGAGGGCTGTCAGACTCTGCCGGGGCGGCAGTGCGTGCCGTGCCACCGAGCCAGCGTGGGAGGCACGGGCCGTGCCGAGAGCCAGCAGGGAGCATGAGCCTCCAATGGAAAACATGGAATAACAGAAAGCAATTAGTCCGGAGAGCGTGACTGACGGAGGAGGCTGGTCCCAGCAGCGAGGGGAGGGGGAGCAATGATTTAATTAATGCTGAGGAAGAGCATGGTCTCAGCTAGTGCATGGGGCTGGCTGAAGAAGGGGGGTGTGGGCATCTCCCTGGTGTCCTGGGGGACAGGAGAGGGCTGGCAATGCTCGCGGGGGAGAGGGACAAAGCTGAGATTGTGCTGGAGCCAGGGCTGAGCAAGGAGAAAAGGGGAGAGACAGGGATAAACGCCTCGTGCCCTGCCCCAGGATGCTCCAGCTCCGCTCTGAGAAGCAGAGACCCCCCATGCTGGCAGTGCCTCTCATGGTGACAGTGCCCAGGGGCCATCGCGTTTCCCGGGAGCCCATGTTGCTCCAGCTTGTCCCTTCCAGCGGCTGACGGGGCAGCGGCTCAGCCAAGGCCCTGATTTGTGGATGTCTCTGTCCAAGATGCCCTTGGGCTCCTGCTCTGTCTCCATCCCTGTCCCCATCCCTGTCCTTGCCGCTGTGAGACTGTGGTGGCCACAAGCCCATCCCCAGAGAGAGACAGGCTGGTCCCTTTGCGCATCATAAGCCAAGCAGCCATGGGTCCAAGAGAATCCGAAGCCACAGGGACCCCACAGGGCCCCCATGATGCCACAGGCACACGGTGATGCCACGGGGACCCCGTGATGCCGTGGGGATGCTGTGCCATGGGGACAGCGATGGGGAGCAGCTGGGGTGCTCGGGGGGGGCGGTTGGAAAGGGTGAGAGGGTCTCAGGGACACTTTGAATGACCCCAAGAAATGACATACGGGTCTCAACTGTGCCCATTGACTGCCCCGGTCTGAGCTCCTGCTGGGAGAGGGAACCGGAGGGAGAAGCCCTGGGATGCTGCATGGCCGGACCCCACTCCCACCAGTTCCAAACCCACCAGCTCACCCCTTTGCTGCTCCCCATTTCTCAGGCCTTTCCTTGGAAAAGCAAGGAATGAAGCCGAAGTAAAACAGTGACACGCTTTACGCTGTTCCTGATTTATTTCACGTCTTACTTATTGAATCTTATTCCCCGGTTTCACGGTTATTGTGGATTTTTATTAAAGGGGATAAACAGGTCTGGGATTTGGGGTTGTCATAGGAACTGTTTCGGTGCTGCAGCCTCACTGCCAGCCTCATCCTCCCCCCCGGGTTCCTGATGGAGCGAGGGCTCTCTCCAGCCTGGTGGAGATTGCTCCAGCCCCCCAAGCACAGCCCCAGTGAAAACCACATAATGGGACAACCACTGCCTGGCACTGGGGCGCCCTGCGGGACCCCCCCAGGGTGTGCAGGGTGGGGGTGGGCTCCTGGGCACTGCCCGGCCGTGGCCACGCCACAGCCTGGCCCTGCGGCCACGGGGGGGGTAAACCGGGACCCCCGGGCTGCCATCGAGGGCTTTAAGCTGAGGAGAAGTGAAGGTGCTTGGAGGATGTTGCTTGTCCATGTGGATTCTCTGGTGTCTAATAGGAGGTTGTGCTATTGTAGCTATTGCTCTGCGAACCTCTCTGTCCGACCTGGTATCGTTTTCATTAAATCTCTGGAGCTGATGGGGTGTGGGGCACATTGGGGGCTGCCCTCCAGCTGTTCCCCATCTCTTCTGTTGCATCAGAGGGGGCAGGCAGTGAGAAACGAAAGTGTCAAACACATTTCAAAGGAAATCCTTCATGCCAACACTCCTTTGGCCCGCGTGGTCCTTCGCTGCAGGATGTCGTGGAGGCCAAGGCTCTGGCAGTGATTAAAGAGGGGTTTCCAGGACTGTGGGACGAACAGGAACACGCAGTGCTTAAGAAAGACTCACTTTGTGCTTTCGGTGTTTGACGGGACATTGCTCAGGGACAATGGCCCTCCAGAGCTGGCACGGGGAGGGTGGATCCAGCTGCTGCTCTTGGTCCTGCCGGTGCCCGAGAGAGGGTCCCAGGGCCAGCAGGAGGGGTGTCCTGCCTGCACTGGGGATGCCCAGGGCTCCTCACATTGGGTCAACTGACAGTGACACGTTGGAGTGGTCCTGATCCCCTGACATCCGCATGTACATCACGCCCTGAGTGAGCCTTGCACACGACCTGGCATATTCCGGTGGGTTTTGTCCTGGAAAAAGAGTTGGGGGCTACTGCTCAGGATGGGGAAACCCATTGGGGAGCTCCCCTCCCCTTTCCGTGGCAGTGGGCGGCACTGGGCGTCCCCAGCCGGCAGCAAGGGCAGGATGCTGCGGGGGTCCCCACGGCTCCCCGCTCCTCCTGGCATGGAGTGACCTTAAAGCTTGGCCGTGCTTGGATGCAGCCCCGGCGCTGGCAGCGCCCCGAGCCCGGCACAAGCGTCCCTCTGAGGAGAAGTGCAGGGAAAGGGGAAAAAAAATATTTAGAGAGGCAGAAGAAAAGGGGGAAAGCAGGCGCGGCGGGAGGGAGCCACGGAGAGGGCTGAAAGCGTGTTCTCAGTGGGCTTTTGTTCGCCCCAGACGTGCCCGGCAGCGCTGCCAGCACGGAGGGGCTGTGCCGGCGCCAGTGGCTCCCAGTATGGTGCAGCCAGGCGAGCCCGGTGCTCCGGCAGCCTGCCCGGCACCTCGGCCCAGCGAAGCATCCCGTTAGCAGGATGCGGCCCCTGCGGAGCCTTCGGCGGGGAGCTCCATCGCTGCCGGCCGCGCGGTGGACAGCACGGCACCATCGACGACGCGCTCGCTAAAATAATTGCTTCTGACAGATCCATTTCTTCCGCAAGGTTCAGGCTTAATTTTATAATGGTATCGGTAACTATGGCAACGTGTAAAAATAACGTATCCCCGAGCCCAGTAAATTCTCCGTAAACAGCTCCCGGTCTCCGGGAGCCGAGGGAAGCCCTGGCCAGGCGGGCAGCAGCCCCCTGCCCGCAGCGCTGCCACCGCCGGCTTCCTGCACCCGGGTTGGTGTTTGGGTTAGGATTCACGCGATGACTAATTAGCGGTGTTAACTGCTTACGCCTTGGGATGATGATTTGGTTTGCTAATCCTTCGGGCTCGGCAGAGCTCGCAGCGGCTAATTGGGTGGATATCATTAATGCTGGCGGTCAGGAGCTGCTGTTAAAGGGCTGCAGCGCGACGAAGGCCGGCGCATCCCTCGTGCGCGTTGCAGGGCAGATGCTTTGACACCGCATTTTGGGGTTCCCTCCTGGTACTTGAGACCCGGCACGGGGCTGGCAGCCGCCGGGGGCCGTACGGGGCTCAGACCCTGCGTTGCCACCAGGCCAGCAGCCCCGTTTGCACCTACAGCCCCGTCCCAGAGCTGCCGCTGCTGCACATGCATACACATGTGTGCAGACACATGCAAACACACACACACGCATGCACACGCATGCATGCACACATACGCACGCAGAACAGGCTTCCCATGTGCAGGTACCCCCCCAGCAGACATCAGCTGGTGCCGATGTGTGTCTCAGCTCAGACGTCTCTGGTCACCACTACTAGTAGATAATCCCAGGCAATATTTTCTAAACCTGTTAGACATCACTCAGGCCCTTTAAATCCCTGATCCCCCTCCACGGCTCCGGCAGGCCGAGCTGCGGCGCAGGACGGCAGCATTTCGCAGCTTTGATTTGCAGCTCCTTATCGGGGCCAGGCCAGACCCTTGGGACCGATGCAGTCACCAGGAGCGCGGTGGATCTTGCAGAGCCAGATTAATCCTCCTGCTTTTTGTTGCCCTTCAGCTTAAAAAAAAAAAAAAAAAAGAAAAAGACAAAACAACACAAACCCCTTGCAGAAGCATTTTCTGTGAGCTCCCAGTAGCAGACCAGCATGGCCCCAGTCCCGCGGAGGTCAGGCACCATGGATGTGCCGTGTCTCAATGGGGCCAAAGCAAACAGCCCCAAGCCCTGGGAGACGGCCGCTAAGCCGCAAGGCTGCCGTGGGGACAGCATGGGGACGGCCACCACGGGGACAGTCTGGCGTCAGGGCTGGGAATGGCATTGGTGGCGCTGGGAACCGGTCAAGACAGCAGCACCCCCCTCCAGGGCTGGGTCTGGCCGTTTCGGGGGGTGGGGTGGGGTGGTGGTGGTGGTGCACCCCCCCCCCCCCATCCCAGCTGCTGTGCAATTGCTGTGTCTGCCATGATGCATCAGATACGGCACTCTCACAAATAATCTCGGTAAAAGCCCTCGCTGCCAGCCACACCGTTATCTCTTGGCACCCTCGTTAATAACACTCAGTAAAGGGTGACGTGGGGTTGTACAGGGTCTCCCCCACCCCATGTGTCCTGGCTCACCCCTCTGCTGGGGCATCTCTTCGGCTCCGGAGGTGCAAGTCCCTGTCCGGCCAAAGTCCAACAGTACAAATACCCCGACCAAGCCTGGGCTTCAACGTCCCGCAGCCGTCCCAGTGCCTCCAGTGAGAGCTCTGACAAGCAGGAAGCGATGGGCTGAGATAGCTTAACATGATAAATCCCACCACGTTAGCATTTTTATTTTCATCTGCAGCTGCCGCAGGACTTTATCAGGCAGCTCAGCCTTCAGTGAGTTACAGCAGCCGTGCCTGGGAGCGCGCGGAGCATTATCTGCTATTGCAGCGTTGGATGCGCTTTCATGATAACAATTTGCAATCAACAAAGAACTTTGAGAGGATGCGGGGGAAAAAAAAGGCAGAAGAAAACTGAGATGATATCTCTCCTCCCTCGGCCAAGCTCCTCACCCCACCACGGTCCTAGCGGTACCGCCAAGGGGAGACCAAGGTCTTCTCTAGCATCGTTCCATGGGGTTGTGGGCTCAAAGGCACCCGCTGTTCTCACGTGCATCCCCACAGGCTGCACCTCATCCATCCACCCGCATCACCCTTGGCCTTGGCCTCCAGGCTGTCCCACATGGTCCCTGGCTGTCCCCAGGCA